AAAACGTGTACAAAAGAAAATTTTGTCAAAACAATGGCCCAAAAGCAATGCTGCCTCCATACATGCTCGTGCTAGCTGTCAATTCTAAAATGGTATTAATTTTATTTTATTCGTAAAATTATTAGGATATAAGATATCTTTCTTTAATTCCATATTTCCAATCTGGTTTGGGTGGGCAACCGACCTAATGGCACTCTTGAATGAGCACATTTTTTTGTTTATAAATAATGAGCACCTACCTTTGGCACAAGAAAACAAAATAGAAAAAGATTATTAGCTGTTTTGAAGGAAACTTATGCAAAATTTTCATAATTAATAACCCCACTATATACATGTGCATAAACTATTCTCATGATTTAGCAGTAGAGGACGATCAAAGTTAGGGTTATGGTGTCTTGTAGTACGTCATTATTGTAAGTGTGAAACTTATTTTTTCCCAACTATTTAGTGTAATTTTTTTTCATATTCCATATTCAACTTAGTTTGCTAATGTGTTGAAGTTAGTGTAAATGTGTAACTTGTTTTTTTCCAACTTTTTAGTGTAATTTTTTTTTTCAAATTTCATACTCCGTATTTAACTTACTTTTTCTATTTATTTATTTATTTATGTTTTTGTGTTTTTTCATATCTCATATTTAACCTACAACTCTTCAATTCAGTCCTACTCAGAGAGTTCTGGATCCACCAATACAAATTTAGCAAATATGTTGGTGTTAGGGCTTGTTTGCAATCAATTAAAAAAAGTAATTTTGGCTTTTTCTTTTTTAAGAAAAAACACTTATTTTACCAAACACTATCAACTTTTACTTCCTCGATTTCCATGTAAAATCTACTTTTTACTTTTTCTATTACACAAAAAGCACTTATTTTACCAAACACTACCAACTTTTACTACTAATCACTTTTTTCCAAAAAATGCTTTTATTTAAGCACAAATGGTTGCAAACAGAGTCTTAGTTGTCTTAGAAGAGTTTTTTTTTTTTAAAAATTTACTTTAGGACTGATAAATTGGGATGTTTTTACTTGGATTGTAATTTGCTGGTCTGGTCTGGTCTGGTCTGGTCTGGTCTGGTCTGAACTGGTTTGGTCTGGTCTGGTATGGTCTGGTTTCTTTGTATTTTTATAACTATCCAAGTCTGGTCTGGTCTGAACTGGTCTGGTTTGGTCTAGTCTGATCTGGTCTGGTCTGGTTTGGTCTGGTCTGATCTGGTCTGGTCTGGGACAAATTCCAATCTAAGTAAAAACATCCCCTAGAGACAGTTTTATCAGGATGAAAAGCATAATAACAGCAAAAGAGAAATTGGACCATCATATCAGAACTAATAATGTACATAACATTTACAGTAATAAAAAGATCAGAGTTGAGTTGTGCGGTAGCAACGGATCTTGTCATGTAGCCTTTTTACATACTCCGTCCTTTGCCAAATTGACTTTTCTTGATCAATGACAATCAACTTTGACCAATAATATATTTCAATACGAAATTGTTTAAAATATGAAAGTTATATCAAAATGTTCCTTATTCAAAATATTTCCATAAAAGTATAAAATTTATAAATTATATACAAGTATAATACTTTAAATCATTGCTCAAAGTTCGTCATCATTAATCAAGAAAAGTCAATTTGGTGAACCAAGAAGGTAGTATATACGTATGTAGTAATTAATTTTTTTAATCAAATTGAAGTGGAGGGCAAGGGCATAATCAAGGGTAACACGTATATTAAAAAAAGTAAGGTTATATGATTGATATTGAATTGATAAAGTAAAAATAATTTAGATACACAAACTTTACAAAATTAGTATGAGACAATCTTAGTGGGACGGAACAAAAAGAAAATATATGATAAACTTAGCGGGACAGAGTAAATATGTTTTACATAGAAATAATTACATACGTAGTATTATATTTATTATTGAATTAAAACTTATTTACAAAAATGTGAACTGAGGGAGATGTTTATGAATAGGTTAAAGTGTTAAACCGGTACTACTGAACAACCACCACCAATTGAAGGGACCCCAATTTTTTAAATACGGATCATTGAAGTACAACGAGTCAGGAAAAACAATGTAGATTCATTGTTTTTTATTCATGGATCCTTTTATTCCTGTTTTACTCATCAATTCAAATTGCGAGTAATGAGCCGTGTCCTTTAATTCAAGAAAATTTTAGAATTTTTTATTGCATTTTTAATTAATATTCAATTGATTTGACTATAAGTATTTAGATTGGGATTTATATATATGTTTTTAGTTTTTTTTTATTAATGTGGGGTCTCATTTTTACATTTAGAAACGAGGCTTCCAAATTCATTTAACAACTTTAGCTTGTTGAGCTCTTTAATGTAGTGATTATGACTATGTTTGGTAGACATAAGTCCCTACCTTCTAGCTTTTGTATTATTGAAAAAGTCTCTAAAAGTTCCAAGTTGTATGTTTGGTATGATACTTTTAAGAGCTTTTCAAAAAATAAAAAGATCTTTTTTGAGATGATACAGGGAGTCGCATCTGAAAAAAGTCTATAGCTTCTAGCATTAATTAGTCCCAACAGCTTCTATACCAAACAAAACTAAATCAAACAGTCAGCTTTTTACCAAACAGCTACTACCTTTTACTTTTAAGATCTTTTCAATCACTAAAAGATAACAGTTACTAAAAAGTTCGTAAAAGTATCTTTTCAGCTAGTTGTGCCAAACATACCTTATATTAGCTAGTACTATAATCATAGTAACTTAATTATGTTAAATTTTACACTTAAGTGGTCATGACACTATACTATAATATCAACTAGTCATCTTTTTATATACTCCGTATAAATTTTGTTTCAATAATGTTTTGAAAAAACCTCTTTTATATATAAAAATGGGGTAATTTGAGTTTGAGCCCCATTTCATTGTCCAAATTGGACTTTGATCCTCGTTTTTAAAAATCTTTATTTTTGCACCACAACTCCATATGAAAAGACAAAAAGGTCCATCCATTAACTATTCTGTTGGCCTTTAGCATATTCCTGATAGAAGGGAATTCTAGTCTTTTCATGTGGGGTTGGGGTGCAAATACAAATATTTTTAAAAACGGGGTGTAAAGTCCAAATTGGACAATAAAATGGAGTGCAAACTCAAATTAACCCTATAAAATTTATACGGAGTATTGAAAAATTCTCAAAATTTAGTTGAAAAATATTCTGTACTGCCCCATCAGTTTTTAACCCAGCCGTGGCTGGCTATTTCCCTGTCAAATTCCATGATAAATTGTTGCTAAATGCTAATAATAGGAAATGCCGAAGAAGGCTAAGAAACAAGCCAATCAACACATTGAGACGATTAATCGTGTTAAGCCGTAATTGCCTATGTCGGGAAGACGTACTACAATTAAGCATGACCTCGTGCATGCATTTTATTTACGTCGTACGTACAAAGGCAGACCTTTTATATGGTAGACCTAAACATGCATGCCGTATATACGCCCGTATGGCCAGTGGCGGCTTGAGAAGTTTGGAGGCCCTAGACGAAAAAATATTTAATACGCCAAATCATATTGAAATCAGATAAATTGAATATAAAACGTTATATAAAGAGGCAGAATTAAGGGCCCAAAAAGCAGAGGAAGTGTATACTATCGACCCTTCATCCCTCACCCGTACTGAATGGTCACAATCCCAAGCAGAACTCCTATTGAGACTTAAACAAGAACATCTTTTCTGGAAACAAAGAGCCAAAATTAAATGGTTGGCGGGCCGAGGGTGAGGCGAATACGAAATTCTACCACAACTTCGTGCGAAACAAAAGGTGTGCCCAGAGAATCAACGCTATTGAGGACAGGGAAGGAAACCTAATTCAGGACCAGACTGGTATTGCAAAAGCTGCGGTGGACCATTTCCAGTCCTTGTACACTGAAAACGAAGGCAGTGACCCTAGACAACTACTGGATTTATTTCTGAAATCTATCACTCCTGAGGACAACACCTTCCTAACATCTATTCTGCTCAAGGATGAAATTAGGGACTTAGTTTGGTCCTTGAGCAAAGACAGTTGTCCAGGCCCGGATGGTTTTCCTGGCAAGTTTTACAGAATCTGTTGGGAAATTATCAAAGAGGATCTTTTCAGAGGAGTGCAGGAATTTTTCCTAGGCATCCCCATGCCTCAGGCCCTAAACGCCTCACTCATCACTCTTATACCTAAAACCCAAAACCCAACGTTATTCACCCATTTCCGTCCCATTAGCTTGACTAACTTCATGAACAAAATCTGCACAAAAATTCTAGTTAACAGGCTAAAACCCCTCCTTCCGAAAACCATCTCAAAAAATCAAATTGGATTTATGGAGGGGGAGGACATGCATCACTATATCCTCTTGGCGAAAGAAATTTGTAACACCGTCCCCAAATATATTTACTTCTATGTAAATAATGTATTGAACCTTATTAAAGGATTAATGAATTTACGAAGTTGTAAATTTTTGTTATTTTCTTTCGCGTGAATAGTAAATTGCACGTGGGGCCCACATCGGGAGCGGGGACCACCCAACATTCCCGAGACCACATATTTTATTCATCTTGGTCAAGATAATATTTATATGGTGGTGGATATTTTACTTGGGTCGTGGAAAGGCCCTGTGTTGGCCGATTGGGCAAAAGAAGCCCAAATGCCGGGTACCGACAATTTAACGGATAACAGCCCGAAAATGAATTTCGGAGACTTCTAAATTAATGTTTTGGAATACATATTATTTCAAAGGGCCATTACGATTGAGAACACATAATATATTTTATTGGACCCGATAAAATAAAATATATTTAAAACAGTCCGAAAAATACAATTTTCGGGACCGATTGTACACATCGGGACACAAAGGGATGACCTCCCACATGAGTGGGGGCCACCCCACGTTTTTTTGTGCTCAATTAGACAAAGGGGAGCTGGATATGATAAAGGAAGGTGTGGAGGAGGAGGCTTTGGCATCAAAGTACAAGGATGACCCCTCACCCATCACACATTTTGTCATTGAGACAAAATAAACCACTCCCTCTCACCCCTATCACCAAGCTCGACCAAGACCTCAAGAAAAGAAGAGGAAAATCTCTCAAAACCACCTCCATTGTTGCAGCACGAGCTCAAGAGAAATTGGTCCAAGGAAGGAGGTTTGAGAAGGAAAAAGTTAGGAAAAGTGTGAATAATTAAGGTAATGACCTTGTTATAACTTCTCCTTCATTCTTCTTTTACCATATGAGGTATATATCATGTAGACAACCTTTAGTATGGTTCCATATGTCACAAGTATGGATTCATGGGTTGAAAGGTGGCTCTACGTCCAAGAACGGACTTAGAAGCCAAAAACGACCGGTTCACCGGAAAATAACCTTTTATAGGTTATTTGTATTGATTAAGGTTTTATGATGTTAAAACCTTGTTAGGAACTTGTGAAAGGTATTTCAAGTGATTTCACAAAGTTGGAAAAGTCGCCGGAGTTGTCGCCGGAGTTGACCAAAAGTCACCGGAGTTTCACCGGAGTTCAACCAAGAAGGGTAGAACTTCTTAACGCTAGTTCAAGGTGAGTGGACGGCTTAATATCTTATAACTTTTGGGTTAATTATAAGATTACCTAAATAAATGTTATATGAATTCATAATGATGTTTAAAAGATATTTAAACATGTGATTAGCCAATAGGGTTAAGTTTGTATGAAAGAAATAGATTGTTTATGCATAGAATATGATATGAAGAATTATATAGAATGCATATTTGCTTGAAGTGTATTAGAAGCACAAATGAATATTTTAACTTAATTATGTGATGATTAAGTTGATTTGTACAAGGTTTGTAATGGCGGTCAACGACCACGTTGACCGGTGGATAATGGATTAATTAATACCGGTCGATATTAATTAATTGTACATTTACATAATTGCATGGCTTTGCATGGAATGTGATACATAAGTTTTATGTATTGAATTAGTTATGAATGACTAAATATGATATAGACCCTATCTAGCGTGATATGTGGTAAGTCATAGGTCGGGTGGAGTACCCAAGGATCGGGCGGTTATCCTCAAAACTCGGTTATATAGGGTGGAGTACCCAAGGATCGGGCGGTTATCCTCAAAACTCGGTTATATAGGGTGGAGTACCCAAGGATCGGGCGGTTATCCTCAAAACTCGGTTATATAGGGTGGAGTACCCAAGGATCGGGCGGTTATCCTCAAAACTCGGTTATATAGGGTGGAGTACCCAAGGATCGGGCGGTTATCCTCAAAACTCAATTATAGGGTGGAGTACCCAAGGATCAGGCGTGTATCCTCAAAACTCATAGATTACATTTAATGATCTAGGACCGGGCGGTGTCCTTATGATAATTTATTTGACCAAGGAGGAGTTCTATACACTCATAGGTATATGGGTGGGTTGGGATTTAAGTCAAGGATATTGACTACTATTATTTTCCCAAATAAACAATGACCTACGGGTCGGGTATTTCCAAGTGTATGTATACTAATATGTATTTCAAACTTGGGGGAAGGACTATACGTATATGTATCATCCTATGTTTGGGTCTTATACTTGAAACGCTAGTTATTCTATATTTAGCCTGCTACTCGCTCGGTACTTGTACTGACCCCTTCGGGGGGCCCCACCATTTTCAGGTTGAAGCTAGGGCTTGCTACCTGCACCTTTCTACGGGTGACATCAATCAAGGAAGACGTGGTTCGTGCTTCCTCATTTTATTTCAAATTACCAAACATTGCTCATGGATATTTTTATTGTCATAAACTATTCTTTTGGGGCTTGCATGCCCATGATATTGGCCGGTTGTGGCTTACGACTTACCGTTGAATATTTCCGCTATTCATTGGTTTAAATGTGATGTTGTTATGTATGTTTACCACTGGGTATGGATGGATTATTTTCTCGAACGCCTTGTGTAATCAAGTGAGGTTGACTCGCGGGTGACGTCACTTGATTATGCGGCGGTTGTACACGCGCTTGGATTGCGGTCTGGGGCGTGACAATTAAGTGGTATCAGAGCCATCTCAGTTCTAAACTATATAATCAACCTCTCACAACAGATTTTACAAAAGAGTTTTTACCGAAAACCATGAGCATTGTATTTTGACGTTTATAGGACTATTGGTGCTTAAGTTGCAAGGCCTCTAATTGTTAAGACGGTACCCTTAACAATTGGTATGGGGGTGACTTGGGCCAATATGTGTCTGTAACGTTTTTCCGTCGATTGACATTTATAGGAGTCTAATGACTCATCCATATTTCTTTCAGAAATGGAGGGCAGGCGAATGCGGACCAGGAACAATCCGAGGGGGCAGGCGCCGGTAACATCCCAAAGGGGAAGCCGGGCTGCATCTCGGGGTTCAAGAGGAGGCCGTGGAGGCCGTGGAAGCCGTGGAGGTCATCAAGCTCAAACTGTGAGTGATGGCCATGTAAGCTCGGTGTATGAAACCAACACCGAGGATTATGACTCTACGTATGTTCCTGAGACAGAGCATGAGGAGACCCCATATGATGGGGGTGACACATACACCGATGAGGACAATGATGAAAGTGATGCCCGCTTCGCCCAAATGGGTGAATTACTTGAGTGGTATCAAAAGGAGAAACTGAGGAGAGACCTTAGGCGCCAAGCGAGGCGTGGCTCTCGTGGTGGTTCGGGTCAAGGGAGCCGGGGAGCTTCCGTGGCCACCCCAGCGGCGTCACAAGGTGGGCGTGAAGGAGGTTTTGTTGTGAGAATCTCCAAGTACCTCAAGGAGGCTAGGGCCTTGGGGTGTAGGTCCTTTGACGGCACCGGTGACATTACCGTTGCCGCCGATTGGATTAAGAAGGTGAAGGATGCGTCAAGAGACATGCAAATCACACCGGACGTGAAGTTGACTGTCGCTTCACGGCTACTTGAAGGGATAGCCTCTACGTGGTGGGAGAGCGTGGAAGGGAAGTACCATGGGGAAATAACATGGGCGGACTTTGAGCTAGAGTTCTATGCTCAATACTACTCCGAGTACGAGGTGAATGTGAAACGGAGAGAGTACACTAACCTCAAACAGAAAGATGGCGGCACGGTTAAGCAGCTGGAACAAGAGTTTAGAACCTTGGCGAGGTTCTTGCCAGAGTACGCGGTTGATGAGAACCGCATGACGGAGCACTTCTGGGATGCATTACTCTTGGATATCCGTGACCGAGCTACGTACTCTCGCCACATGTCATTTAGCGAGGTGGTGGAACAGGGTCTTCTTGGAGAGGCCCAGTGGAATGAGAGGAAAGCAAGGGACGCCGAAGAGGCGAAGAAGAGGAAGTGGAATAATTCGGGGCCACCCGATCATTCTCGAAGGAACAACCACGGGGGTGGTGGTGGTGGCGGTGGTTCATTCAAGACGCCGGCTCCACCGGCAAAGAAGAATAGGGATGCGAGGTGGCACGGACCTAGGCCACAGAACTCGGGGCCACCTAGATGTCCCAATTGCTCAAAACAACACTTTGGGAAGTGTAATGAACCACCGAGGTGTTTTAAGTGCGGGAATGCGGGCCATATGAAGGCCAATTGCCCTCAATTGATGCAAGAGAGTGCCTCGGGAGCCGGGGGAGGGACCATGACGGGAAGAAACCGTGCGGGACCGTCAAACGGCGGTACTGGAAGAGGCGGTGCATCCACAAGCCATGCCGCATCTGTCAACCAAGGTGGGACCCAAGCACGAGTCTACGCGGTGACCGAGGCGGATGCGCGAGCAAACCCGGACTCCGTTGCAGGTAATACATTTATTTTCCTGTATTTCTAGGCTTATTTGGGTCATATAAGTCATTGGGTTTGGGTGCGGGCCACCCCGGGGTCAAACCCCGCGAATTCGGGGCGAAACGGGCTAAAAACAACTACGCGCGATCGCGCGTACCCACAGACGCACGACCGTGCGTGCGAGGCAGTAGCCTCTGGCCTGATTCCGCGCAGACGCACGCCGTGCGTGCAGGTCAGGCACGCCGTGCGTGGGACGCACGATCGTGCGTGACCAGCTACGCACGATCGTGCGTAGCCTGCAGTGGTGGATCTCCGATTTTCACCCAGGCACGCCGTGCGTGCCACCCAGGCACGCCGTGCGTGGACCCCCAACACCCGAAAATTGATTTTTTCGCCCCGTTCTTCTACGTTTGGACCCCCGTTTGATTCCAAACATTTGTGTGAACCTAATAACATCCTAATGATGTGTAAAAACCTTAGAAAATGTATCTTACATGATGTATAAATGTAGGAACATTAAAGATCAATGGTAGGTGTGCGAGGATCCTCATCGATACCGGGGCACAACGCTCATTTGTGAGCGAGGCGTTCGCCGAGGGCCTTGACGTGCCATTGACACCTATGACGCAAACGTTGCTAGTCTCCACACCGTTAGGAGACGATGTGGAGAGAAATCATTACTATCCATCATGTGAGGTGGAAGTGACGGGTCAACCCTTGACTTGTGATTTTGTACCTCTAAGCATGTTGGAGTTCGACGCAATCCTAGGAATGGATTGGCTCGAGAGACACCATGCTCGAGTAGATTGCTACACCAAGGTGTTGGAGCTCGAGGATGATCAAGGAAACACGGTATGTTTCGAGGGAGATCGAGGAAAATCCAATGCTTGCATCATATCCGTAATGAGAGCACGGAAGATGATGAGGAAGGGGTGCCACACATACCTTGCTTACGTGATGGATGATACGAAGAAAGAAGTCGACATCAAGGATGTTCGAGTCGTGTGCAAGTACCCGGACGTCTTTCCAAAGGACCTACCGGGGCTTCCACCCGATAGAGAGATTGAATTTGTAATCGAAGTGGAGCCGGGAACCAAACCCATTTCGATTCCTCCTTATCGAATGGCACCGGCCGAACTTCAAGAGTTGAAGGTCCAACTACAAGAGCTACTGGACAACGGGTTCATCAGACCCAGTCATTCACCGTGGGGAGCACCCGTACTCTTCGTAAAGAAGAAAGATGGTACGCTAAGAATGTGTATCGACTACCGACAGTTGAACAAGGTCACAATCAAGAACAGGTATCCTTTACCTAGGATTGATGACTTGTTTGATCAACTTCGAGGGGCCATAGTATTCTCGAAGATTGACTTGAGATCGGGGTATCATCAGTTGAAGATCAAGGAGAGTGACATACCTAAGAGTGCATTTCGCACTAGATATGGTCACTACGAGTTTCTTGTGATGTCATTTGGTTTAACCAATGCACCGGCAGCATTCATGGACTTGATGAACCGGGTGTTTAGTGAATACTTAGATCAATTTGTGATAGTATTCATTGATGATATCTTGATATACTCCAAGAGTGAGGAGGAGCACGAACATCATTTGAGGCTTATACTTGATCGGCTAAGGGAAAAGCAACTCTTTGCCAAGTTCTCTAAATGCGAATTTTGGCTCAAGGAGATTGGTTTTCTCGGTCACGTCATATCCGGTTCGGGCGTAGCTGTGGATAACGCCAAGATAAAGGCGATCATGGATTGGGAGAGACCCAGGAATGCGAAGGAGATACGTAGTTTCCTTGGCTTAGCAGGATACTATCGTAAATTTGTGGAAAAATTCTCCGTATTGGCGTCCCCATTAACGAAGCTCACAAAGAAGGGGGCCAAGTTCATATGGGACGACAAATGTGAGAAGGGGTTCCTTGAATTGAAGAAACGACTTACCGAAGCACCAGTCCTTGCCCTACCCATACAGGGGATAGGGTATGACATTTATAGCGACGCTAGCATCCAAGGGCTTGGGTGTGTACTGATGCAAAACGGTAAGGTGATTGCCTATGCTTCTAGGCAATTGAGGAAACACGAGGTGAACTACCCTACTCACGATCTAGAGTTGGGGGCGGTAGTGTTTGCATTGAAGATTTGGAGGCATTATCTCTACGGGGAGACGTGTCACATTTATACTGATCATAAGAGCCTGAAGTATGTATTCACTCAGAAAGAGTTGAATATGAGGCAGAGGAGATGGATGGAGTTGATCAAGGACTATGACTTGATCATCGACTATCATCCCGGAAAGGCCAATGTAGTGGCCGACGCACTGAGCAGGAAGAGTACGTCGGGGACGCTACTCACATGTCTACAGGCATTGAGGGCACACGTGGAGGTATCCACGAGCGGGGCGCTCATTGCTAGGTTTGAGGTCAGACCTACATTGCTGGGTGAGATCAGTAGATGTCAGGCCATTGACGAGGAGTGTCAGAAGATTCGTGAACGAATCATTGAGGGGCCTGTTGAGAACTTTCGGGTACGTGACGATGGTCTATTATTGTTTAAGGATCGTGTGTGCATACCAAAGAATGAAGACCTCCAGAAGTCTATACTCGAGGAGGCTCATTCTTCAGCCTATGCTATGCATCCAGGAGGTACTAAGATGTACCGGGACCTGAAGGAAAGTTACTGGTGGTCGGGTATGAAGAGAGACATCGCCGAGTATGTGAGTCGATGCCTTACTTGCCAGCAAGTTAAGGCAGAACATCAGCACCCGGCAGGGCTTTTGCAGCCACTCACCATCCCAGAGTGGAAGTGGGAGCACGCGACCATGGACTTCGTGGTGGGGCTACCACGAACAGTGAACAACTATGATGCAGTTTGGGTAGTGGTTGATAGACTCACCAAGAGTGCACACTTTTTGCCTATCAACATTACTTATCCTCTTGAAAGACTGGCCAAGCTCTACACGGAGGAGATTGTGAGATTACATGGAGTCCCGATATCCATTGTCTCGGATAGGGACCCACGATTCACATCTCGATTTTGGCCGAAGTTTCAAGCATCTTTGGGGACTAAACTGAAGTTTAGCACAGCTTTTCACCCACAGACGGATGGACAGTCCGAGCGGGTGATACAGATTTTGGAAGACATGCTTAGGGCATGTGCTTTGGAGTTCCAAGGAAGTTGGGACAAGCATTTGGCCCTAGTAGAGTTTGCCTATAACAACAGTTATCAGGCAAGTATCGGCATGCCCCCATATGAGGCATTGTATGGGAGGAAGTGCAGAACACCGTTGTGTTGGGACGAGGTTGGCGAGGCCAAACTCGAAGGGATAGAGCTGGTTGAGATCACCAAGGCCAAGGTAAGGATCATTCGGGATAGACTAAAAGCTGCTCAGGACCGGCAGAAGAGTTATGCTGATAAACGGCGGAGACCGTTGGAGTTCGAAGTCGGTGATGAGGTCTTCCTAAGAATTTCTCCTTGGAAGGGCATCATTCGATTTGTATCGAGGGGAAAGCTTAACCCCCGATACATCGGCCCATTTGAAATCCTTGAAAGGATAGGGGCCGTGGCTTACCGTCTCAAGTTGACACCGGAACTTGAGAAGATACATGACGTGTTTCATGTATCGATGCTCAAGAAGTACATACGAGACCCATCTCATATTCTTGAGAAACCACCGGTAGAGATCCGTGAGGACTTGCAATATGCGGTGGAACCAATGAAGATTGTTGGCCAACAAGTGAAGAAGCTGAGGAATAAGGAAATTCCTATGGTAAAGGTTCTTTGGAGGAGTGATCGAGTCGAAGAAGAAACTTGGGAGACCGAGGTCTCAATGAGGGAGCAATACCCATTTCTCTTCGATTAAGATACTTGGATTTCGGGGACGAAATCCCAATTAAGGGGGGGTGAACTTGTAACACCGTCCCCAAATATATTTACTTCTATGTAAATAATGTATTGAACCTTATTAAAGGATTAATGAATTTACGAAGTTGTAAATTTTTGTTATTTTCTTTCGCGTGAATAGTAAATTGCACGTGGGGCCCACATCGGGAGCGGGGACCACCCAACATTCCCGAGACCACATATTTTATTCATCTTGGTCAAGATAATATTTATATGGTGGTGGATATTTTACTTGGGTCGTGGAAAGGCCCTGTGTTGGCCGATTGGGCAAAAGAAGCCCAAATGCCGGTACCGACAATTTAACGGATAACAGCCCGAAAATGAATTTCGGAGACTTCTAAATTAATGTTTTGGAATACATATTATTTCAAAGGGCCATTACGATTGAGAACACATAATATATTTTATTGGACCCGATAAAATAAAATATATTT